GTGAGCAGAGGTGTGACTGAACGTGTGTGTGCGAGTCTGTGTGCATCCACCACCAAGGCCTGTGAAGAATTGCAATGTCGCTGGAACGTGGGTGGTAACTGTCTCTTGCCTTTCTATCTCTACTTGCTCTTAATTTATATCTTTTATTTCACTCTTTGCTATCGCTTTGACGTTTTATTGTTGTTAATAAAATTGGTCTGGTTGTACCGCATCTGACCTCGTTTGGTCTTAATCTCACTCTTGGGATCGCATAGAAACCTCCCCAACTTTGGATCGGGACAGCACACAGAACAGTACCTCCAGCATGAGGAACTGTCTTCTCTAAGGGGAAAGTGGGGAGGTATGCTTGCCTACCTCACGCTGTGGAGAGGATAAGCTAGCAGGGTTCATGTCAATGCTCTTGTAGGAAACCTCCCATTGCAATATTTCATGGAGGAACAAGAAACCTGTCCATTCTCCTGTCCCACATCCTTGCCTGTGGTCAGATTCAATCATACAGAAACTTGATTCACTTAGGAGCATGCTCTGCCCTCACTTACAGTGGCATCAATGGAACTGCACCAGAAAGGAAAACTATAGGGGTAGACCCAATAGAAAATCAGAAAATTCAGGTCTCAAAAATCCTGCAAGAAGACCTGCACGTCTCAGCATGGGTTTCTGCACTGTGGAAATGAACTGGTAGGAAATTTGGTGTAAAAAGTATGTAAAAAAAGGAACAGAAATACATGGGACTGGACACTGACCATGATGGGGAGCTTCATCCTGTACTTTTGGAGGAGGACAAGCCTGCAATGCCAGACCTTACCCAACAGCTATCCAGGGCAAAAAGCAGTCCTTGTTCATTTTGAGTCATGCTCCTTCTGCACACAAACTCACCCCCCCACACACCCCCCTCCTCCCACTGACACCTGAATGCAGTTCTGCTGTTTGTCACAAGGCACTGCAAAGGACAGCGCCACTTCCCAGCTAATTAGTATTTGTGGCCAAAAACTCCTCTACTTGTCTCTCTTAGAGCTCACTTTCCTGCCGGGAATATAAAATGCTGCCTGGGTGACACATACCAGCATGGAAATGCATACACACGGACTCCCAATTATGGGATAACTGCTGCAAAGCAGAAGCTGCTCTCACGAAACAAAGCAAACAGTGGTCGGATTAATAATCAATTAGATGCAGCAGCCACCTGATGCTGCCTATTTGGAGAAGTCCCCAGTTTCCACGAGCTTTTGCCCGTGCAAGAGGAGATGAACAAAGTCTGTGTCACAGTCATCTTGACTCGGCAAAACACCCTCTTCTGCCTCTTGACTCAGGGATAATTTTCTCCTTGCTCTAGTTCCTAATTAAAGCCATGAATGTGGATAAATATCACGTCCAGTTTTAAACCCAACTGGGTCACCAAACTGTACATTACACACTGTTCTGCAATTAAACTACTCTGTGAAACACCTCAATTATAATTAAAGAAGCAATTATCCCCGGTTAAAGGCGCCACAAATCACACATTTCAATGCAGAAGTTCGCCTGGCAGCTTATGGCATATTAACCAATCTTACATCTCATTGATGTTTTGATCTATAACCTATCACAATGAAGTAATCTGATGTCACTCAGTGTCTCTAGCTGTATTTTTTCGATGTGCAATACAATGCTGGTGTCGTTCAAAGAACAAATTAAACAAGCTAAGGGGTTAATTGCTAGTAACTCTTGCACTACTGTTGCAGCATCTCAGAATGGGATCCTTCCTGCTTTCTCAGCTGAGGCTTGAAAAAATACACACACAGAAGAGAGTGGAATTGAAATGGATGTTTCTGTTGACACCAGGGAGCTGCAACTGCCCAATTTCCACTGAGCCCGGCAGCTCCTGCTGAGCCTGGGCTTATCTCACCACCTTATCTTATTTCTCCCCATTGAGGAAAAGCAGGAGGCAGGGAAGCATGGAGCTAGGGCAGGGTGACTTTTGTTTTTATGCTTATTCCCCCCTTTTTTTTATTTTCTCTAATTTCACAGCAGGAACATGTGAGCTTGCCCCTTCACCCCTCTGCTATGGGTGGAAACCTCAGTGTAACAGTGCTTGCGCTGGTCCTTCTGCAGCGTCCAACTGATGCTAGCTGGGGCTGGTGCCAGGGGTACATGGCCACAGAGAAGCTGATCTGGTTTTCCCAGAGACCAAGCAAACCCTCGGTTCCTTACTTTGTCCCAAGTGAACAAGCAAGCCGTACTTTGATTTGACCTCAGGCCATGAGGCTGGTGTATTTTAATACACCCTCTTCTACTTGGATCTTGGGATTTTTCTTCTTTTTTTTTAAGTGGCTGTGACCTAAGCCTAGTCTAATGCTCATCAAGTCCTAGTGGATCTGAGGGACTGGTAAATGCTGCCTTAAAAGCTCTGCCTGCCCATCTCCATCTCTGTCCTTCTTGCCCTCCGGAGCAGCTGTACGCTGCTCTGTGGCTCAGCTTTTCAATAATAGTAAGATCTGCTCTAGCATTGATCCTTAAGAGCTTGACACAGTTAATTGCAATTAAATGTGCTGGGAATTATCAGACTAAATTCCCCAGCTACTGAATGAGTGGACAGAATGTGTGCCTGAGCGTGGCTGCTCCCACCACTTTGAAATACCAGAAAAAAAAAAAAATTATGAAGGGGGGGAATAAAATCAAAGAGAAAAAGTAAGGGGGGCTCCAGAAGCCAGCATTACATTACACTGGATATGTATTTCGTACAGTTTCACAACGTAAGCTTTTCTTCCTCCTTTTTGGCGTTAAATCCAGTGATTACTTCAGAAGCCAGTAAGTGGAAGAAAAACCAAACCAAAACACTGTGCCCAGAGTGGGAAGAGTCTGAGGCACATGCTCACCAAAGCATTTGGCAATGCTGCCCACAGCTGCAACATATGCATTACCCTACTCTACCTGGAATCCCAGCAGTCTTTCAACAATGTGCAAAATAGCCTCAGCCTGCTGCCTGCCTTCTCCCAAGTCCTTTCTTGCTTAGTTACCTGTACCAGAAACTTACCTGAACAAATAAACAAAGTCTTAAACAACTAACTCATTCATCTCTAAATTAAGTAATCAGGTAATCCTTCAACCCACCAAGTTACCTTTCATCTTTCCATTTTTTTAAATTTGTTTTACCAGCTTCAGCAAGTGTCTGTAATAAAAGTGTCACATTAAGGTATTCATACTCATTAGTGTTCAGGTCTTTGTTCCTTTAATAGTGTTGGAAAGAATCTACAAAGAGGCTGTAATAGGCGGCTGTCCGATCTGAGTGTTTGATCTCCTTCTGACTTCAAAAGTCAGAATAGGAAAAAAAAAAAAAACCCAACATTGAGAATGGTTCTTTTGAATGTCAGATGGGGAGTATACAATTTCTGAGCCTGCCAAGTGTTAATTGGTGTCTGCCCCGACCATGGTACAAATAAGACTCAGAGTCAGTTACAGTACAGTCATGAATCTTGGCTATTGACAGAGCGAGCCAGGGTACTAGAAGGCAGGAAAAAACACAATTATTGTAAGAGCAGCCCACAGAGGAGCTTTTCAGAGATCACTTCCACACATCATGTTAAATCATGCTGTCTGGGTCCCAGCCACCCGACAGGGCATCACAGACCAGATCCCCCACAGAGGGAAGAATGGCTGCTGAAATTTAAGAGGTGATTGTAACACTGCATTCAAACTACCCATCACCATCTATCTCTGTTTCCAGCAAAGGTAATGAAGTTCCCCAGTACTACCCGGCACCTCCAGAACAACATACCCCATTGCAAAGACTCTGGTCATGGCACAACAGCAAATTGATTTGATGCAAAGAAGCATCAGAAAGGAAAATTTAAAAACACTGCTAAATTCCCAAGGAAAGCCAACTGATTAATATTACAGTTGTCAGCACGCTGGCTCAACAGACCCACATACTCTTTACAGCTTTGAGGACCTCAATGGGGAAAGAAAACAGGCTATGGAAAAAAAGAAAATGGGAAAAATCTTCCATGCTAATTATTTCTTCTGATGTTTGTGGACATGTTTCTGCAATTCCCATTAAATCTAAACTTGGGTTAGATGGGGAGGTAACACTTTAAGCTTCATCTCCTGAGAAATCAGCCATCAGTGCTGAGCAACAACCACTTTGCTATTTAGCCACGGCAGTCTAACCCCTCCTAATGCAAATTGGCAAGAGCTTTTTCTCTGCGTGGCAGGGGAAATCCGAGGAGAATTCAGACAGGGGAATTACCATCATTAACAATCAATTTTTCTCTTAAGAGCTGCAGTGGATTTAGGAGTTCAGAGACTCCCTCCCTTGAACAATGAGTCTGAAGCTGGAGCCACCACTGCCCTTAGGCAAGCTCCAATTCAGGGGGACACCCGCTGTCGTCAGTGGGCACAGATTTTGCTCCTGCCAGGTGGAGACCAGGCTGCCCACTCTGCGTTTACTTACATGTCAGTAGGAAAAGCAGATATACTCCTGAAGATGAATTATTAGGCAGACACATTCCCTACTTGCCCGCACCTTACGCTGCTTCACCCAGGAGCCCGCACTGGACCACGGTACGTCCTCTTGTGCCGAGCGGACTGGCTGGTGCACACACGAGCATGTGCACAAACATGTGAGGGAAATATAATCTGGCAAACTAAAATGTAAAATGTCTTACACTATGCTTGAAAGGTGCCTCTCAGTGTGAGATTGGTTTTTTTCTTTAAAAGGAAAAGGAAAGATAGCAGGGCTGGTATTAATATGCTCCACCAGCTACGTGTCCTTTGGATGCCAGATAAAAACAGATTTTTGAAAGGGAAGAAAAAACTGAAACCAAACGTTCTGCAGCTCTGCCCAGCAAGGCACCATAATCCACAGCCATTAATCAGCTCCCGATCAATCTTGCCTACCAGCAACAGTCAGTTAGCTCTCCATTACTCCCCATTCATCATGCCATGCCACTCACAGCACCATCAGCCACCGCTCAGCCTTCGTTAGGATGTCCCAGAGCCAGGACACTGCTGGTGCTGCTCACCTCAGCTACTGGGATGCCTTCGGGAGGACGGCACTGGAGCAGGACCTCTTGTTCCAGGGACACTTCTTTCCCCAAGGGCTCCTGCTCAAAAGTTTTCCGGAGATCTGTGGAGGGAGAGGGAGAAGAAAAGGAATTAGTATTAAGAGATGGTCATTTAAATCACATTTGATTGCCATACTGTATAAGGTCTGAGCTGTCTTTCTAAACAGAGAAAATAGCATTTCTGATCCCTGCAAAGTGAAGCGCTTAGAAAAGACTGGGACATGTTTTCATTTTATTCCAACATTAAGCAGTCAAAGGTTTCATAGCGGATTCACTATTTATATTGCGGTAGGGTATGTGAAGCCAGCGAGGATCTAGGGCCTCACTGTGGAAGGTCACGTCCAGATACCGAATAAAAAGCAAAAGTCCCCTCTTCAGACAATTTATGTTTGGTGAACTATGCCAGTGAAGTACAAAAGCAAGTTGAGGAAAATTAAATAAACCTGTAAAACTAAAACACATCAGCTGTGTTGCCTTAAACTCATGGATGGAAGTGCTCATGCTGTGATTTAACGTACTTTTAGTTTATAGGCACTGACTTTACAGCTTTAGCTAATTTGTCTTCACCTTATAATTTTCCCTGTAGCATTAAATAGATAATAATAACAATAACCATAATGTAGAGCTCAGCCATGCTTGCGCCCCTGCACAGCACCACAGAAATGTGTCAGGCAGAGAGGACATCAAATGCCCCTCCAAAAGTAGTGACTGGGGATATTTCTCCCTTCTCCTGGTTCCTGCTGCAAATGGCCATAAGGCTATGTTCAAAGTCACATCGGAGAGTCAGCCTGACTTTAAAGTAAGTGTTGCAAACAAGTTATTTTTATTTTACTTTTTGTTCTGAAGTCAGACCTGTTCCCTATGCCAGCTCACGGCCAGGTTGCAGAAATACTTGTGTCGTATTGGAAACAAGTCATATGGGAACAATTTAAAAGCCAAATATTTCATATTTTGAAGCCACAACCTGCGGCTGTGCTGGAAAACAGATCACTGAATTGAACCCGTTTACAAATAAACAATTCAAAGAGTTATTTTTCATCTAGATTACCTGCAAGATCTGATTTACAGCTGACCCCACAAGGAACTGCATCAGCACTACTGAAAGGCAAAACCTAGGGCAGGGGAATGCACAGACAGAACAGGAGATGGGGTGTATGCCATCAAAATCAGCTTCTCTGAAACTTGCCTTCAGGTAGCATGTCTCAGCCTACATTGGGAAAATGTGGTTGTTCAACTAACTAGAATTACATGTCAATCTAATGGTACCATGGAAAAGCTCTGTCATAGCTGGAGATGCTGATTTTAACGTAAGCTGATAACACGGTAAACTTCGAACGTCCTTAAACTCGTGCATTTCCCTAGTGAAACCAAGGCATGTCTGTTCTTCCCCTGCACCACAGGCACAAGGGGAGTGACCTCAAGCCCTGCTTTTTTTTTCTCCTGCTAGCACACGGGGCAGGGATCCTGAGAGCCCCTCCGACGGGGTGGGATTTATGGCCACAGTTTAGGGCACATGATCGTATTATTGCTAGTTCCACATGTATTTCCAAAGGAAACAAATTACCTCCACATCAGGTACACCTTCATGCATCTAACAGGTACACATACGTGTGTGATGCAGACAGCTGTAACAGATGTATCGTGCTCTAATATCATGGCTGAGGATAAATGAGAAAGCTACCATGCTAGTAACAGAAGCATACAAACACAGTAACAAATAGCACATTAATAATAGCTTTCAGATATTCAGATACAGAGGGATGAAGACAGCAGAGGCAGATTAGATGGATAATAATCTGAGGTTTTTCCTTGACATGTTGATTTACTGTCCTGCCTACCTTTCTGAAACATTAATAGAGCTCTAAGTTCTCCAGAGCCTCACGTGCACAATAATCACCCACCTCTCTTACAAAGCCTTTAAAAAAACCCCCAAATTTTAGTGCATACAAAAGTAAACAGCTTTAGTCTAGAAACGTGTAATAACAGTAAAAAAACCCCCACTTTAACCTCTTTATTACCATCAGCTGGAACTCCCGGGTATGAACAACCCCTCTTCCCTGGGAGCTGCTGCCATGGGGCTGCGGCAAGCGAGACGAACCCTGCGGGACCCCAGCTCCCCCCGCTGCCCCCGCCTGCAGAACCTTGCTGTGTGTGGATGCTTCAGCAGCACCATTGGATTCGAGCAGGTCAATGATCCACAAACAAAAAATACACCAAGGGCCTTGACATAATAGACAGTAATGTTCTCCAAGGAGCCATTAGGTACTATTGAGGAAATTATACTAATTTGTTGGGGGGGAAAATAAGTCTATAATTGTATATTTACAAGATTGGGAGCTCTTATACATTATTCTGTTGGCTCCCTCCCACATGTTCCCAGCTTTACCCCACTAGAACTACCCACAACCTCCCGCTGCAGCTACACACCTACAAATAGCTACGGATGGCAGTTGAGCAGGGCAGGTTTTACCTAACCAACGACATCTTTTTAATTCTTCAGTCTGTCCCTTCCTTTGCCATTTAACAACTACAGTCATTGTGGCAACTTCACACTGGTGACCGGGAATGGGTGAGCTTGCTAATGTACTGAGGGACTTTGCATCTTTTCCAAGCAGAGTATTTTCAATTATATTTTTCAGTTTTGGAAAGTGCAACGTAAGTTACAATTGCTTGCAAGCAAGGACAGAAGGAATGAATTTTCCCAGAGAATGGTAAAAGACAAATAAAATACATCCCATTTAAAAAAAAAAATAACAATCTTCAAAAAATATACCTGAAAAAGCTAAACAATAAAAAATATTTGATCCATTCTGGGTCAGGACCTCTTTGTCTGTGAAGAGGCGGTGTGAATTATTAAAGCCTCGGGCTCGCAGCAGCCTGGTTAATGTGATGCTGAGAGAGAGCCTTCACTACCCTCACTTTCAACAGAGAGAGACACCAGGCAGAGAGGCAGTTGCACTGTCTTTCCGTTATTATTTGGGTAATGTAGATTAATTCCTGCTTGTGGGACAGCCTGCACCCCCACCAGGCATTTTCCCCCCTGCCTCTAACTTCCCTTCAAGGCTGTCTTCATAAAAGGAAACCAAGGAGAAGAATTAAAATTCTGGTCTGCTACCTTGAGCCAGACTCCCTTTACTAATGTATGGTCCTGGTAAATTCAGAAGGGGCTCTTGTGGCATATATCGTAGCACATTTACAGCATCCTTAAGATGAGACTTTCCTCCAAGACGCCTGAAATCCTCCTGCACAAACCTCTCTGGTAAGGACAGATGGCTGCATTCAGAGCTGCATTGAAATGAGAGAATTTCCACAAGCATAAACCTGAAAAAATATAATGGGAAATCGAGATCTTGGTGTACACCGTATTGTCAGCTTTATTCCTGAGAGAGGGGCCTCAGATCTTAATTTTGATGCACTGCTAAATGACTTCCTTTCACGTTTAATGCAGTTTTAGCTTACAAACCACTCAAAAGTTGCTTTTTTGCCTGCTGAATAGTTTCTACACAAACTCATGGCATTTCCCCACTTCCTTTGCTACCTGTCAGCTTCTAAGAATGAGCAAAGAATGACCCTATTCTTTTTTTTTTTTTTTTTAATCAAATGTATTTTATCTATTTGCTGTTCTGGGTTTTGCCGTGATGAGTGGGTGGGTAAAACTTTAAGGATATCTTTTATCATTTCTGAGAAATATGATAAGAGGCAGGCCAGACACCTTCAAGGCAGTGCTAATGCAAGGGTGACTAATGAATGAGCATGAAAAACGGACACTTGTCAGCCAGGAATTACATGTAAACCCGAAACGAATAGAACAATGCAGCATCACTGTCAGGGAAAGATGGATTTCTGCCCTTGATAGACATTAAAGACGCTTTACTCTCTGTTCCTTCTAGTAACTCCAGCGTCAACTTTCCATCTAAAACAAATTAAAAAATGAGCAAGTTTTAAGAGCACAAAAAGAAAAACCACATTATTTTCTATTCAACCTTCATATTAACTATGCCCATCGAGAGAAGTATGTTTGGTGTGTGCCTTCAAAAGAAAGAAGGTTTACTATTCAACCTTCATATTAACTATGCCCATTGAGAGAAGTATGTTTGGTGTGTGCCTTCGAAAGAAAGAAGGTTTTAAGACTGTGAAAAGACCTTCACATGAAGAACATATTTCCATACAGAAGATAGCTTGCTTTACATGGGTGAGTACATACAGGCATCCATATAAAACCAAATATGTAATAAGCAAAAAATGCAATTAAAACACTAGGAAAAAAGGGAATATAGCTTGGTATTAGTTTAACCATTATTAGAGGATCAATAGGTAGTCAAGCTCTCGAAGTCTATCTCCTACTGTTGAGGGTGTTCTCAAGAGGCAAGGATCAATGCTGTTTCAATTTTACCTAGTCTAATAAGAAATAATCAAATAGAAAAATAATTGTGGAAAAAAGAGTGGGAAAATGCTACTGATGTTCTACACAATGAAAGAGGCTCCCCATGCTTGTGAAAAACCATCTCACTGCATCTGTTCCCAAACTTGGATGACTAATGCTGATTTAGAGAAACATGACTAATATTGTAAAACTGGCCTCTCCTCTTCCATCACTTTCCACGATGCAGGTGGAGTTAAGAGACACCTTTTTTTTTGCAAAAAAGGGCTTGGGGACTTGCTGGAGTTTTCCCATCGTGTTTACAGGCTGAGCAAACGGGAGGTGTGCACCTGCCAGCCCCCCATTCTACCGATGGCATCTTCAGCCAGCTGGGATAACGCTGCACCCTGACAGCTCCTTAGAGACTCACCACCTGCATGTCTGCAGAAAAAAACCACAATTTTTCCCCTCCTCTCTTCAGCTCTAAGCTAGTTCAGCCAGGCGCTGGTAAGACAAAACATCCTTTTGCAACGCAGCTTCCATGCGGGCTATGCTTATCATGAAGAATGACCCACTCAACCCATTTGGTATTGATACAACTGTAAAAAACACAAGCAAGCAAATGTTATCAAGAATTCACCGAGCGGATGGGTTCCCAGGTGTACACTGATTGCACTGTTCTCCTCTTATGTTTTCACTTGT